AGTACCTTGAGAAGAGGACATCGTCACGAAGTTTTGAATGCAAATGGAAAAGAAATACAGAGTTTGTTTAATCCGTCTTTGCTGCACTTATACAACTGACCCTCGGCGTTAGCCCTCGTACACCCAGGGCATGCATACAGTCCCGTGCAAAAGTTCCGACACATCCGAGGTCCGGACCCCGCTTTCAATTAAACATCAACATCAACACCACAACTTCATCGCGTTATTTCTATAGGAAAAGATGCCTCGAATACGGCAAAAAACACATCATTCTCCTTGCAAAAGAACGAGGTTTGTGACGATGTACGAATCAGGTGTTCGCGTGCAGGATATCGCAGACAGTGAGGGGCTAAGTCGGCACGCGATCTATGGAGTCATTCGACGGTACCGTCACCAACAATCAGCAAAAGATTTACCTCGCTCTGGAAGGCCATCACGACTATCAGATATAGATAAAAATCATATCAAAATACTCATTGGAAGAAACGCTTTTATCTCATACCAAGAAATAATTGATTGCACCTGTTTGAACTGCAAAAGAAGCACAATTCGTCGCTGGCTTATCAATCAGAAGATACAACACAAGCTTGCACTTCGACGCCCGTTTCTCAGCGAAGAAAGTGCTCAATTGAGAAAAGCTTTCTGTGAAAAATATCGTCATGAAGATGAGTCTTTTTGGTATAGCTGGTGGTTTTCTGATGAGGTCTCTATCGACCGTACAGACGGTGACTATACCAAGTGGTCATTTTACTCTGCTGTAAGTCTAGCCCCTTCTATTTCAGAAGCTTCTTTTGACAACACCACAGGGTGAGAGACTCCATCAAGATAAGGTGCAGCCCTGTAGACGGCCTGCCAGACATTCTCAGATGTTCTTTGGTGCAATTCACTATGATAAGCCGTCTAGGATCGTCCCTCTTGCCGGCGATCCTGAGTCTGAGAGGGGAGGCGTAACAGGAAGGATTATTCTATCCTGTTTACAGTCTTATCTTCCCGGACTGGTCGAGGAAGGAGAGACTTTTCAGCACGACAACGCCCGTACATATAAATGCCGGAAAGTTCAGAATTGGCTGCTGCCCTGGGCAAGAAGAACAGGAGTCTTTCTTGCTGACTGGCCGCCATACAGCCCTGATCTCAACCCCATTGAAAATCTATGGAAAGTCCTGAAGAAGAGGATATGCGATAGATATCCTGAAATTGCTGCTTATCCAAAGTCTGCAGCAGCTTTGGCCCGGCTGATTGAAGCTGCAGAGGAGCTTTGGTCGGAGGTCGAAGATGAAGTGGTCAAAAACGTGATAAAATCGATGCCCGACCGGTTGAACGCCTGTTACAACGCAAATGGCTATTATACCAAGTATTAAACTATATTTCTGGAATCTCCTTTTAAGTCTCTACAGATTGATATATATATTATCTAAATTGAAGAATTATTGCCCATGCAATTGCAATCCGAAATGGCAGTATGAGATCGAGGTAGTTGGGGTGGATCCGGAATGTGTCGGAACTTTTGCACGCCCACTGTAGCCCCATTTTTATTAGTGATTATTGGTATTCCAGGTGCTTTCTTCACCAAAGATTGAGACTGGTCTTAACACTCCTGGCTGATATAAGCCAGCTTGTCGCAGTTGGCTACTGGAGGAACTTCAACTAAGCCCGCCTGGTTATGTCATACATTATATCAAATGTCCTTGAGGGCTAGCTATCTCTTAGCTTTCGACAGCGGTACGGTAATCATAGACTAACCGTCGTGATGGGGTTTGAGATAGCACATTTTAGAAAATTGGTAATGGAACACATATTACTTCGTATCCTCTCAACAGATATGTATGACTGCTTTCTGACATCTGTATCAACTGCACGTTCACTTGAGACTTCGATAAGTAGATATTCAGCATCAAGTGACTGATTGTTATGTATGTGTTCTCTCATTACTAATATGTACATTGAAAACTATGATTTGACCAGGAGCGTGGAGCATCTCGTACTGCCAAACCTGATTTGTTTAGTGAAACAACTCGACGGCGTCAAAGATAAAGTTGGGGCTCAGGAAGTCAGCGCCGGAGCTACCAGAGATAACCTCAATAGTAATGGTATTAGTGCCCGCCTTGAGGGTGCCAGCAGGAATAACAGCATCGTATACCTCACCAAATCCACGGTAAGCTCCCCGCGTAACACCTCGAGAGTCGATCTTTACGGGAGCATCGAAGGCCTTCTTGAAGCTGCCGATGGTGACCTGGGGTCGACCACTTGCAAATGCAAGAGTGGTACCGATACGGAGGGTAGCTTGGGTAGAGATGGCAGAGGGGAGGTTAAACTTGATAGTAACTGGGTTGTTGGCAGCCTTGAAGATCGCCATGGGAAAGTCGCCAACAGAGCTAGAGCCTACAGTGTAGGTGAGAGGACCCCAGCTAGCCATGCGCTTGTCACTGGGATGCATGCGCAGCTGATTGGCAGCGTTGCGGAAACCCTTAGGCTGGCCATCCCAATCGCCAATTCGAAAGACAGAGGTGTGCTTTCCTGTGGTAATGTCGGAGTTGGCGGCGATAGAAGAAGAGGCAGTACTGCCAGCAGAGACGCTCACACTCTTAGAGGCAACCTTGAGCTCACCCTGGTAGAGAACTTGAGTGTAAGTTCCTGGTACCATGAATGGGGAAGTGAAAGCGCCGTTGGATGAGGTGTAGGTCCAGTACTGGAAGTCCTTGTTGAACCAATGCACAACACCCTGGAAGCCAGACTGAACGCCAGTCGCAGTACCACTCACTCGGCCACGAGAGGAGTCGGCGGTGTAGTTAGGAATAGACAGGTCCTTGAAGAAAGACATGTCAATATCCTGAGCCTTGGGAACACCGGATCGTGAGAAAGACAAAGCGTAAGGGCCGTGGAAGCCCTGGCGGAACTCTTCAGTCTTGACATGACCAGAGTTCATATAGAAGGTGAGAGCACTGAAGTCGCCGTTGTTGTTGCTGTTAATGTCACGGAAGAATGGACCGCCTGAGCTCTTCTCGTAGGAGCGCGAGGCGTGAGTGACCATGCATGCGTGCACATCCTTGGCGCTGCTCTGGAAGCACCAGACATCGTTGTCGATGAAACGCTGGGATGAGTAGAACTTGGAACGAGTCTGGCCGTTGACATTGAAGACATCGGAGCCCTCAACCGCAGAACCACCTGAAGTATTAGAGGCCTCGCCGAAAGGTATCTCGTTGGGCAGTTGAGAGCGATCGAGGCGAGTAATGTAGCGAAGCTCGCCAATGGCAGGTTGCGACTTTGTGTCAGTAGCCATGTAGACCACGCTTTGGCCATTCTGGACGACATAGTAGTGAGTCAGGTCAAAGTCGCCTGACTTGGTGGTGCAGGTGACCTTGATGTACTTGTCTACGCCACAGTCAGCATGTTACAACGTTTGAAACACATCTTTTTACTCACTGTTGAGAACAGTGGACTGGACACTGGAAGACCCCAGACCAGAAGCAATGTGAGAGGTCTGAGACTTGTACTGGTACTCAGCTCCGCGGTATTTGATCGAATTAATGGAGCAGTCACTCTTGCTGACGGTGACAGAGAAACCGTTGGAGTTGCCAGAGTCAACGACGAGATTGTTACCGCTGGTGGTGACGCCAAAGGCTGCCAGAGCCGGGGCAGCACTCGCAAGAGCACCGAGATACTTGAAGCTGACCATATTTACGATTACCAGATCGCCAAGTAAGGGCAGTATGAAAGAAGGGAAGATTTAGCGGAAAAGATCGTTTTCGAATGGAACGAGAGACTAGAAAACGATTCAAAGAAGCAAAGGGGAAACCATAACAAGTTAACAACGGCATAAGATGAGTATATATTCACCCATTGCATGCTTGGCGTAGTGCTCCTTGCAAACCCAGAGATATAATGATACAGAGACGCTAATTGGAGGAGAAACTATAAATATCGTGATGTGGGAAGAATGCTGAAACAGACGCTAGTTTTCCGAGCGATGTAGCGATGCCCGTGCTCCTAGGACCGAGATTGGGGCAAGGATGGCAGTTCTGAGCGGACATTGTTTCTTGAAGTGAACTCTTCTCGGTGATGATTTGCGAAGAATGCCGAAACTGCCGTCTTATGTTGACTCAATTTGGGGAGAGTTGCAATGAAATCTCTCCGAAGTTGACGTGATTTCCGTTTATGGTATCTTGACGGAATGGTATTGGTGGGGGAATTGCCCACTTCAATGTGAACCCTTGTGCTATTTCGTAACCTAACCATCTGGATCATTATCACGGTATGTCGCAAGAACTATTTGTCAGGGTGTGAAAATCGGTTCCTGTTTAACGTTTTCTGTGCTTCGTTTACCCTCTTCAATCAGAGGTTTCCTTTATGGAATGGCAGCAGATGCTCAGATCGTAACAATCTTAGCTCAAAACACCAGTGATCATGATAAACCTCTGAGCCTAGCAAAGAATTCCCAGAGCAATCCACAAACAAGAAATGACCGCCATAGTAATTCCGCTTGCCGAACCTCTTGATCCCAAGTTAGATCCTCTACTGCTCTGACCTTCAGCACGCCCATCGCCATTCGCTTGTCCATCATGCTCGATTCGAAAATTATAGTCATCAGTGTATCCCGCTGGCTCACATTTTGTCCCTTCAGCCATAGCCATCTTGATCGACCAGTGTCCACCCGCGCATCTCTGAAATGAGTTGGTCATACAGTGCCACTGGCCCTCTGTGCTGCATCCCGAACCTGCTTCCTCATCGCGTTTAAATAATGTGTTGTGGGCATTTTTTGAGTCTGATGATGCCAGAACGAGGCATGAGGAGAATAGAAGAAGTACCGCTAACGTTGCTGGTAGCTTTAAAATAGAGGTGGGACGCATTTTGATGTAATTGGGCCCTCCGGATTCCGGATGAGATCGGCGGCTTCGGAGGCGGAGCCGGCGTTGTGTGGGGTTAGTGGGTCGAAGCAAAGAAACAGATGACTTCTAGAAATTGTAGATCTTTGTTTCAACGTCAACGTTCCAAAACCGTAGAGATCAGAGGTTTAAATACTTCCCCTCTGAGACACCGATATTTGACCTCCTTTCATATTCACATACCGCCTCACATCGTATCGCCTTGGCTTGGCTTGAATGAACTGTTGCTGCCCAGCGTGGGTCATGTACTGGACGTGGATCAGTCTCATTGGAGAACTTGAAAAGCAAGACAAGCGACAATGGGGAGATGGCTTTTTGGGAACGAGGCTCGAGGTCTGTCACACTGTGTGATTTCATGTGGGGATGAAATATTAGCTGTGATGAGTCTTGCATAGGGTTGAGGTACGTTTGGCTTTGAGTGTGATTTGATGCTGCACTTGTAAGTGAGGGCTTGTGGCAGCTCATGAGCCAATCAAGGACAAGGCGAGCATCCTGGGACGACGTTGGAATAATTTTGTACCTGGAATGTAGTAATTGACCAATTATGAAAGTTCTAAACTAACTATTCTTTTACTAGGTATCAATGCAACATTACGGGCGACCAGGAGTAGCATCATTCACAGCATTAGAAGAACAATCGGGCACCCTGTGAGCTGAACTGCCGCAACCACAGCTGTCAATTGAGATAAAGATGAATGCGTGTAGATTCAAATAGCTCCGACTCCCTTGCTCAAGAAATGAATGTTTTATGTTGTTTTTCAGACAGTCAGATCCTTCTGTCTCTCAACTTCCACCCACAATTCCCCCTCACCAACATCCTGTTCAGACTATCACCCTATGATAGACACTACTTTGGCTCCCCATGTTGCTGAATCAGACATACTCAGAGGCGCTGACAGTCTTGGTCGCGGCCTGCTGGTCCTTAATCTTTCGAGCCCGCTCTTTGAAGAACATGCAAGCCACTCCAACGATGGCGACGAAGAAAACAGAGCCAATCATGACTCCTCCGATGATGACCGCCTCGTTGTGGCTACCGGCCTTGTCGGCAATGTACTTGGCGGAACTATCGTGGCCATTGGTGCTGAAGGGGCCCATAGAAGCATCCATGATTGTTGTAAAGTGTGAAGTTTGAAGTATGATATTTGTGATGTTCCTAGACTCGTGAGTAAGCGCTCCTTATCTAAGGCAAGGAATGACTAACAGTCTTGTATATGTTGGGTGTTGGCAAAAGATCGTGGATCAAAGGACGACAACTTGAGTGAGATTGCTCAACTGCTTGCACCAGGCTCGCAATGCGTGAGAACGAATGGAATGGTTGAGTTTGGCATTGCTGTCTTGCGGGTTTGCCTAGTATTTATTTTCATTAGAAAAATAGTGGTAATGATGAATCGTTTTCTTCTTAGTATTGTTCTTGAATAATGTGGATTTCTGCCTCTCTTGAATGTTTCGGACATTATTTATGTCTGCGTCTAACATGCGGTCAAACTTACCAGGCTCGTATGCGCCACGACTTCTAGAAGCTCTGAGATGATATATCATTCTTCTGACCGCAGCTAGCACGCTAGTCAGCCGTCAGATTATATTCAACAGCCATAATGTACACTCTAGCAGGGTTCAGCCAATTTCGTTACGCAAGATGTGAGTTTCATGCTTTGTTCTGCATCTTTAATTAAAGAAGATTGATATTTATTGGTATTATTCATTACATGCGGCAAAACGTCCCAGCGCTTGGTCCGCTTACCTCCTTTCGCTGGGTCTATTAAACTGTGCCCAATATTACAAGGAAACCATCATGCTATGCCAGTTATCCTTCCTGTTCGCCATGCTGCTTACCCTTTTGTCTATTTCCCCCGTCGAATGCATGCTGAATTCGTAGCTGAGTAATACTTCAACTTTTCGCAAATTGTTTGAAATCAGATCGCCAATGCTGTGCCATTCCAGGCCGGGTAAGAGGTGTGCCATGCGCCATTATCATGTGTCTTTGAGGCAGAGCTTGGCTCAGGGGTGCTATTTTCGGTGTTTGAAGTAGTAGTGGTAGTAAATGTGATAAAAGTCGTGGGCGCTACAGGGGGCTCATAAGGTACGGCGGCAGTAGACCAGGATTCATCCTGAGTCGCATGGCCTTCAGCAAAGGTCTCCTGTGAAGGAATAGGCGCCACTGGAGCGTCCGGTGCAGGACGTTCAGTTTGTTCTGGAGCTCTAGCACCCTCGCTTGTCTGGGTAAGGAGTGTGGTTGGTTCCGAAGCCGGAGCTGAGCTTTCGATAGTGGGAGGAGGCTGGGCGACTGTCTCAACTGGTGGTGGATAGTAAGTGATGTAGGTGGTCGACAATGTTTCAGTAGTCTGAGGCGACTCAATGTTGGTAGGTGATTCAGGCTCAGGTTCAGGTTGGGGTACGGGTTGAGGCTGAGGTCTGGGCTGAGATGTCACTCCTGGAGCGGCGGCCGAGCTCAAATCAGTTGGACTTTGTATAATCGGCTCTCGCTCGTCGGTATTAGTGCCGGGCTTCTGTGTGATTGTCGGCTTCTCCGGTGCTTTGGGCTTTGAGCTGGGGTGAGAGACAGTGACAGTCTCAGTGACTGGCTCATCGTCCATGTTGACAACCGAGACGGTAGTAGGGACTGCCTTGGTGACAGTCTTTCCGGGAGCAGTGATGATACTGGGCTTTTCAGTTTGGGTGACAATTTTTGTGACTGGCTTTCGTGTCACAGTTCGGATGACTGTCACGACGCCATCTCCGTCGTTGTCACTACTACCGCCACCGCTACCATTGCTGCTGCCCCCATTTCCATTCCCATTCCCATTTCCTCCACCAAGGTCGCCTGAGGCGGGGTCATCGTCGCCAGGTTCCAAAGGAACGACTGAGTACTTTGGTTTGGCTGTAGCATCACGGTGCACGATTCTAGGCTGGGGAAGTGCAGTGACGGTTGTATACGAAGTAGAAAGAGCCAGAAGAAGGGGGATGAACCCGCGCATCTTGACGAGGCTGTTTCGCCGAATATGTTTGTTGTTTGCAGATAGTGAGTTCGGTGTTGTTTTGCGAAGAACAGGAAATGACTGCGTGGTAGTGCTTTAATGTGCTTGCGGATGCTGGCACTGGCAGCTAACAAGAGACCATCAAGGGCGGGTGAATGCTGGGGAGTGATTCACAACTGAGTGAAGGATAATCACAGTCTGAAAATGAGAGACAAATGTTGAATCTTACGTGAAACCAAAAAGACAAGATAAGAGAAAGAGGCACAAACCTGGCATGTCCTAGGAATAGTTTTATTTCAATTGCAATTGAGATGGCTGGTGAAAGCTGCTATCCCTTGCAAGTCCCGAGACGTGAATTCATGGAGGTTGGAGTGACACCAAAACCGCGCTAGCATCTTCTGGTCAGGAACAATCGGGGGCTCCAACGACGTTAGTCCTAGCAAGCGATTCCCCAACCACCTGTAAGAGCAAATATAGAGCTTTGATTGGGTTGAATTGTGAGCCAACGTTATCTCGAATGCATCGTTCAGCTGCAAAGCATCGGCGGGGTTATCCGAAAAATGAAAATCAACAAATTCAATCCCTTATTTGGCCATTTATGGTCTAATCTATTCTTTAGGTTTCCAGTCCCTCTTTCTTGACTCTGCTCTGGAACTATGATGAAGTTGAGTTGCGCGTTCGTGGCGGTGGAGTGGCGCTTTTGTCACTTTGAAGTGGCTGGAGGACGTCTCCAAATCCGGCAAATCCAATAATCAGGATTGCCTGTCTGAGTGAACCCATGATCATGGCAGTTGAGAGTCCGAACAGGTGATTGCGATGACGACTCGCGCGAGCTTGGCAGTGAGCTCTTATTCCCCGCGCATCCGTCAACACATCCACTCAGCCTCGAATGGTGGTCATTTTGTCGGGAATAGGTGACAAAAATCGTCTCCGCATCTTCATCGAAGACTAGGTTCCCATGCTACAGAAGCGGGTCAGGCATTCTTTGACACTCATTTCTTGCATCTGTCCAAGATATTTCGGACTCTTGCTGCATGTTATCCGAGTCTCAGCTGCATTGACCAGATGCTTAAATCACGATGCCCCTCCCAAAGTTTCTCGAATGAGGGGCAAAAACATGTCAACAAGACGGTCTGTGTGGTGCAAATGACGTTCCATCCGATCCTAAGTTTAGGATCTTGGCTGTTGGCTTGCTCCGCCTCTGGGCAACCCACATGGATCGCCATTATTGAGATAGCGCCTCAAGGCTGAGCAGCATATGCGCGTCTCTCTTCAGCCCAAGGCAACTCAGGTACCATAAGTAGCTTCGGTTTTAAATAAGAGACCTAGGTGCCACTGTCCGTTTCCATTCCACCAGCACTTCCGTACATACTCCGCTTGTACAAAACCCATCATTTCCCCTCATAACACCCCGCAATACCCGTACAAATTTAACATCACATCACCTTACACCACATAGACGAAATAGTCATACGCACCATGTCTTACCAAGGTTACGGTGCTCCCTACGGCCGTAAGTAATGCTGTCTATATCTACAACAGGCAAGGCAATCTGACGCGATTAACATGTAGAACCGCCGCCTCCACAAGGTTATGGTCAATATCCCCCACCACAACAGCCGTATGGTGGTTATCAACAACCTCCTCCCGGACAATATCCTCCTCAGCAAGGCGGGTATCAGCAACCTCACGGCCATTATCCTCCTCCCGGAGGCCCTCCTCCGCCTCAGCAACCTTACGGCGGATACCAGCAGCAACCTCCTCCTCCACAACATTACGGCGCACCTCCCGGTCCTCCACAGGGCCATTACGGCGCGCCTCCTCCTCACCAGCAACATCATCAACCCTACGGTCAACCTTCACCTGCGCCGCCCAGTCAGTACGGCGCGCCTCCTCCTCAACAATATGGTGCGCCGCCAGTCCAACCTACTCCGCCCTCACTTGGCTACGGACCGCCTCAGATCATCCAATGGAATGGTGGCCCTGACGCTGACGCTCTGCGCAAAGCCATGAAGGGTTTTGGTACCGACGAGAAAGCATTGATCGCCATTTTGGCCAATAAGGATCCTCTGCAAGTTGATACGATCCGTGCTGCTTACGAGCGCAACCATCGTCGCAAACTGGTATCTGATATTCAGAGTGAGACAAGTTCATGGTTCCAGAAGGCTTTGGTCTCACTGGCCCGCGGTCCGCTCCTGTCTGACGTGCATGCCTTGCATGACGCCATGTCTGGACCTGGAACTAAAGAGATTGTTCTCAACGATGTTCTGCTTGGTCGATCAAATGCAGATCTCAAGGCAATCAAGAGCGCGTATTATCAAACTTTCCACGACAAGCTCGAGGATGTAGTGAAGGGCGATTTGAGCATGAAGACTGAGCGACACTTCATGATTGTTCTCGGCGCTACGAGAGCTGAGGACGCCGCGCCGGTCGACCCTCGACAGGTTGATGACGATGTCATGCAGATCTACAAGGCTACCGAGGGCAAGCTGGGCACCGATGAGATTCTCGTATGCAGCATTCTCAGCACAAGGAACGATAATCAAATACGGGCCATTGCGCACACCTACAAGCAGAAGTTTAATAAGGACCTTGAAAAGGTTATCAAGAGCGTGAGTTCATTTGACACTACAATAAGAAACAACTGACTAATGTGACTTAGGAATTTTCTGGCCACATGGAGGATGCTCTTCTTTTCCAGCTGCGCAATGCCACAGACAAGTACATGCATGCAGCTAAGCTCCTCGAAGATTCAATGGCTGGTATGGGAACAAAGGATCACCTTCTTGTTTCAAGAACAATCCGCTACCATTGGGATCGAAACACACTTAACAACGTCAAGGGCGCATACCAACAAAGATACGGTAAGAGTCTGGGTAAACGGATTTATGGCGAGACCTCGGGTGACTACCGAAAAACCCTGCTGGCAGCAATTGGCGAGCCCTATTAAGACATGGAGGGAGACGAAAAGACAGACGAAAGGGCAGACTCACGCGCTTAGAAGGGCATGACATGGATAAGGGCTTCACAGCCTCTCACGGCCGATGCTCAATATAATGATAAGGCGTTGGCTTTGACGATACACTGTCTTGAATTTTAGCGGCTACTGGCGACCTGTGGAGAATGACATTAAGATACCAAGTATGAATTAAGAATTATGTTAACTGTTAATGAGTTTGAAGAGTCAATTGTGTGACCTTGGGTCTAAATATTAGGGAGCTTATCTATTTAGTATTATACTGGCAATATGTAAGTCTTTTACTAAAACTTATTAATTATTACTATGAAGTTATAGGTAGGACGATAATATATACAGGCTGTATAAGTTCTTATAATACTGAAATTAATTAATAAGGTAAAAATATTAATTAAGGTTTACTACTAGCTATTCCTAGTTATATTATTACTTATGTGCTTAAGCATAAGCTATCACGTGGCCTTTTAACACTCTTAGAAGCTATTTTTGAATCACGCTAGCGCTAATAACGCGCTAATGGAATTTTATGAAGCTACAGGCTCCCCCTTTAAGCAATAACCCTCCCTAACTTTTTCACGCCCTTGGCGCATCCATAGGAAACAGAGCCCCTGCTAACTTTTATGCCCCTAGCGCGCAAGCAAGTGCGAACGCGTCTTGAAGGCATTTGGCATTTGGGCATAGAAGAAGGCACAACGATATTCATCAGTTGGTGAAGGCTCACAGTCAGCTCTGCTCGCTGCTTGCTTGCATCCTCCTCTTTACTCTGTTTCTTGTTTTCGAGCTCATTCATTATTAAACCACATTCGATGATAACTGAACAATCTCCATCAACTCTGGATACACTCCTCTGAAGTTTTCGAGATTCTGAGATATCAGCTGAGAGCGAAGTGAACCGCGACATTTTTTCTCTGGGGTGTTTGGAAACAGGAGAATGGCGACACAAGCTACATCTCCGCCAGCTGGTGTATCACTGCAGAATGGTGTAAATGGTGCAAAGAGTCCTAATCAAACTATCGCTCATCCGCACGGCCAAACACCAGTACCTCTGCCGAGCTATGCTCCTCCTTCGCGATCTGCGTCAGTCACCTCTGCCCCTACTGCGCAAAAGCCAAGCGCTTCCCCTACGCAAACAACTCCTTTTCTTCCACCAGGACAGCACCAATCTCCGCCAATGCAAGCAAACACTTTGAACCAGACAATTCCGCAACGCCCTCAGACGCAGACGCCCAATGCTCCACCGCAGGCACGAGGTCTGATGTCGCCACCACTGAACCAATTGCCGCAGTCCGTCGAATCGTCAAATCACTACCATGAATTGACTGCTTTAGTCGAGAAGACGCCGGCTTCTGTTGTTCGCCAAGTTGTTCGAGACAAATGGGAAAAGTCTCTTGCGGGCTCACAGTATCACATTGCTTTCTTGGTAAGTTCCCCATTCGCTCGATTTTGTTCAAGTCTACCTTTATTCTCATCTTTTAAGCGCGTTGGTTTCATCACAACTCCTACACTTTTCTGCTCATGCTTCCTATGATCTTGCTAATTGTCTCATAGTTGAATGCGACTATGCACCAAGCATCTCCTGATACTATTGCTAAGGCCGTCCAGGAGTTCGGTGCAAGCCTAGTACAAAAGTCTAAGCGTGAGTTATTGGGTCACCTCAACGCGAGTGACTTTGACGAGCTCGCCGACCTGATACTCCCTCGGGTTAGTACACAGTTTCTGGACAGGGCGCTTGCAAGGCGTCTGGAGACGGTACCAGCCCGACAGCTTGTCAACGCGTTGGCGCGTGCAGAACGGCTGGGCTACGATGTCAAGGATATCGTCCAAGAGCATAATGAGCATGTCATCCCTTCCTTGCACTCGTTGCCGGTGCAGCCGCAGCCGCAGCCCATGGGGCCTCTAACAGACACGGCACTTAGTGCGAGGCAGTATCATACTCACCCCGTCGCTTCGCAAACTCCCCCACCGCCAATGCAATATGTGAATCAACCAGTGGCTCAAACTCCAAAGACGAACTACCCGTCAGACCTTCCAGGACTCGTTTGGTGTAAGTGTGGTTGGCCATGCGCTTCGCAAGCGGCACTCGATTATGTACGTTACGAGCTCAAATAAGTTGATTGGATTTTTTTGGATGTGTCTAATAGCAAACAGCACCACAAGAAGAGCGCTTGCAACAGAATCCAAGCGAATGACGTAGCTGGAAGAGATATTTGCCTCTTTTGCGGTTGCAGATTCGGTAGTGGCGGTGGTTTACTCTACCACGAGAAGTCCAACGTCTGCGGAAACCACTCCCGTGAGAATGCTGAAAAGATGCGGAAGTTGCTTCTTGCTCTTCGTCCTGAGAATCCCCAGCCTCCTGTGCCAGACGCCTCTACTCAAATCACACACATCCCATACACTCAAGTGCCAATACCGTCAACTCAGCCACAAACAGCCTGGGCTCACTCAACGCCATCACATCCTGCTGGTACTCCAAGTCGTGATTCGGGTCGCGATCCATACGCTCACCTCAGTCCTGAGGATTTGAACAGGTTTAATGATATCATGAAAAGTGCCGAAGCAAAGTACGGAGGTCTGATGAAAGATGCCATGCTTCTCGACGAGCCAGAGAGATCGAAACGATTAGCAAGTCTAAAGAACTCGTACAACACAAAACAAAGCACCACTCGCAAGAAATTTGGTATCCGTCTTCGCGAGAGGCGAACCAGAGGAGAGATCGAGGCTGAGGAGGCTCGACTGATCGGGACTCCAAGTGGCACCGCGACTCCACCACAGGCTACAGCCACATCTGATGGCGATTTTCACTCAAGGAAGAGGGCACGAACCGACGATGACCAGCTGCCGTCGTCGAGCGCAATAAATAGGACGCAAGAGAGTCCCCAGAAGAGGGTTCCTGTATCAGAGATGGGCGGACTCTCGGGGTCATCAGCAACCGCAGAGCTCACAGATCCTACGGCATACTTGAACCCAGCTCAACCCCGTTATGCGCTGTCAAAAGCAGCCGCCCGCGGTGACCAGCCCAAGGCGTTTGGTTCTGCGGAGCGAAGCAGAACATCGATGGGAGGAACCCTCGATGATCCCATGTCGATTGACGACGATGACGATTCGGAAACAGACAGCGATAACGATAGCGATAGTGATGGCGACATTCCGGCTACTATCTCCTAATCTTACAGATTCGCAAGCATGAGCATGGCGTTTGGGACTATACGTTTTGATACCCCTGACATCAGGATGTGAAAGCACAAGAAAGTCAGGTTTGGGGTGCATTGGGGATGGAGTTTAATAAGCATTTTGACGGGCGCCGGTTAACATAAACAATGATACTGCGCTAATGGGAATCCTAGGAGGGTAAGACATCAGAGTTGCTCCCAGGGCAACTGGGTTTTGGCTGTGAGCACTGGTTTCTAAATAATCATCGATCGAAATAGGCGTCGAGGAAATATCCTTGAGCGTATATATGAGCGTGTATATACTGCACTAGGGGATCTCGACGTGAAAAGAGTTTTGGAATCAACAGGTATCATGAAAACGCTGTACATTAGTAATACAATACCATTAGGATGCTAACGACTCTTGGTGAACTCTGTAGAGAATGCTGCAATGGTGTGCAGAATTGTGGAGGTAACGCCTTTGAATATTCAAGTATTTTACTCGAAGCTGTAGATGGTTCGCAGCAGGGAGAGTGAACAACACCAACAAGAATTGATGGCCCCACGCATGACTCAGTACAACTTCAAGTCACGAGAGATTTTACTTGAGAAGGACGCGACAGGCGATAGGTGTTTCAGCCAAGAGGAAAGGATAGGGGTGGTAGAATCGAGACCGTGCCTTGGATAACCGCCTACCTACCTGTAGGTGGCTAACGTGGGCGGAAGGTTCCTCCCGTTCAAGGTCTGGTGGAAAGTTCACAGACAAGGGCATGTTCAGTGGAGCGCCTGCGCAAACACTGAAGAGACAATGCCTTGTTCGAAACCAAAGAAACGTCTCATTTATAGAGTAACTTTGAGCTTATTCTGGTTAACGAGATATTTCCTCTCTGTTCTAAATCTGGCCATTATCACTTTTAATGGCGTTGTGTTACTTCACGATAGCATTCATCCCTCGTCGGCTGTTAAACATCCAGAGGTGCGTCTGAAGGACCTCGGTTTCATACCATGGCAAAATAGACCCCTGATGCCCGATACGAGTTGACGCAGGAACAAGAGATTAACTTACCGAAAGCCCGCACAGAATCGTGGCAAAAAGAACGATGCGCGTTGATAAGCTGAGCGTCTTCTCCTCTCTCATCCCTATCGCGATATCCAACTGGCTGACCAGGCGCCAGCGCGGGGCCGCAGGCTATATGGTTCGACCTATGATAGCCTGAAGCGCTGTGCAGCACAGATGCATCTGCAAATGCAGTGCGCAAGTGTGACGGACATGGAAGCTGATGCAAGGGTCCTCACGCTGACTGGACGGAATATCCGCACGAGGGGGCCCGTTTTGGATCCGACCTTTTTGAAACGTCCAAGGCCTCTGGATCAATAGGCTTCTCTGCTCACTGTATCGCCACGAGGATGCCCAGAACGCTAGCTGCCTTCAAGGCTAGAACATGCCCCCAAATGATCGCCTTGAAACCCACTAGCGACCGCCTTTGGTGTTGATGATGTACATGGATGGCGCTATGATTGGCCGATTATCGAAGCTCCTTGTCGTTCTGGCAAGGGGCTCAAGCGAGCTCTGTCTGAGGACTTCTTTTTCTCTCCTCAGATACTTGATAATCCTGCCATGAGCCACTCCTGGTGACGGCCTTTCTGTTTCGAATTCTCCTCTTGTTTTGTTTTGCTATCAACTGGCCGGCCCAGCACTTTCCTTCTACATACAGACTGATTTAGTTTTATATTTGTTTCTTACCCCCTCAACACCCTCTTCCCTCTGTTTCCTTTCGGGTCTCGTCCTTTACTGAAACTCACAAAACACTCTTGTCAACTGTTCCAAGAGACATCTACGACGATCATGGTTCCTCTGTTCAGCCCCTCTGGCTTTGGCCGTTTCAAGGATAGCCATGGCCGTTTGACAGCGACTGCTTCACAGAAGTCAGTTCCGTCGCCAATGCCATCGCCTTCACAACCTTCGCCTGAACCAATGGCGACTGTACTTATTGGTCCCAAACAACAGCGCTTCAAGATCAATAAGCAACTATTATGTGCAACTTCGCCTTTCTTTGCCGACCGTTTTGGCGATCCTTCAAGTTCCAAGTCAATCTCGTTATGGCTACCTCGCGAATCATCCTCTATGTTCGGTTTGTTTGTTGATTGGGTTCACCTCGGTCTCCGGTTTCGTCCACATCTTGATGAGATGATTTCTAATGCCTACGATGCCGGCCTTGAAGCCTCGCAAAACATTCACTGGTCTCTAATCCGCTTGCACCTCTTTGCATCGCGCCTTGGGCTCTATCGACTTCAGGACCTCGCCATGGACTCCATCCAAGACCTCTATCTTCGCTGCGATTGGGACGTTCCCTCTGGTCTCATCACTTTCCTCTACACAGAATGCGAAGATCTCGCTGCTATCCGACTTCGACGATGGGCTGTCGCCATGGTCGCCTTCTCCTTTACCGGCGGGCCCCGTCTCACCTTCCATCCTCAGGAATCTGCTACTTCGGAACCCACCCGCTTCAGTGATCTACTCGAAGAACTTCCGGAATTTGCAAGCGACTATGACATACATATGGAAAAAATGCGGCTCTCAGGTCTCGACATTCGCTTCAAGAACCCGCAGCTGCGCATTCCAGCTAACCGCCTCCGCAATGACGAACGCGCATTTGGTTTCCGTCAATGTTCTTTCCACTCACATCGCTCAAGCGTTGGCGAGCGACGATGCCCTCACGAATCAGGCTCAACAAAGCACCGCCGTGTTTATCAATCATCGGTAAAGGATTCAGGGCCAGAGTCCACAGGTTTAAGCGCCCCAACCCGGAGATATCGCGATGTCGTGCCCAGACCACTCTTTTCCGGACCAGTAGACTCAGATATCGGGGAGGACGACGATGACGAGATTTCAAAAGCGATAAAGCATGTGAGATCTATTTCAAGTACACTCAAGACCTGAAGGGAGACAACCTTTGCTGAAGAGAGTGGCTGGTGAGAATCAATCCGGCAAGGGGGCTGGGCATGAAACTCTGATCTGCTTGATCGCCGTCATGACCCCCATCATTCTCAAACAGCCCCAAGACAACTCAAAGAACTTGACTTGAAACCTGGTCATCAAGATCAAACAGGACGGCAACTGGACCAGGTCGCGTTTCTCGAGCACGTCCAGAAAGTTACATCACTGTCTCTCAGTCAGGGAGTTCGAGGACCTTTATACACATCGCCTCATGTCTGTGACATGGGCCTTCGTCATACGACGATACTGGTTGTTCCACCAGTTTTTTCCCTTTCTTTTTTATGCACAACCTAGTCATTTCTCCCGGAGAGAGATGGCCAACGTCCAAGCGAGTCTCAGAACAAGATAATATTCTTTGTAAAATAGTATTTAATGTACATAACGACAAGATATCCTATCATATCAAGAGAATAATCAAACATCATGGACTCTCCAACTATCTCACTCTATTGCAATCAAGGATAATGTCTATGTTCACTTTCGATGGACGGTTCATTTATGAAAAGTATTTTTTTTACATCATTCAGATCGTTGCTCGTTCTATGGATATTAAGTTCCATTGCATCATTCGTCGAAGCTTGATACATGTTCATGGTTCGAGCCCACAGAGAGCTTGAATACATCGTGGCTCTCATCACAACATCCCCATTTACGGGGATGTCTGTTTTACTCAATTCCAAGGGTAAAAAATAACACGGCAAACGTAAGGCTCTGTTTGGCCAGCGTGCTGTTCGTTCCATCATATCATCATGAGCTGTTGAAAAATCATCCCGTTCTGGGAAGAATTGAAAGAAACTTGACAAGTTGTGTCGTTGGGCGATTGTCGAGAGAGAAAGCGCAATGAGCAAAGACGCTCGCCTGCGTGCTGGGAAATCCCAGTGTATAAGAAAGGTGAAACAAAGTGTAGAAGCGGAAGGAAACCAGAAAACGAAGGCTATCGTCGGATAGACTGCTGCTGTCTAGATGCATATGCAAATGTTGAGTCGTGGTCCCAACAAGATTCGATCAATGTGTGTCGGTGTCCATGAACTCATAAAACTCATCAGGTGACATAACCTTGTGGAATGTACAAAGAAAAGAAAAAAAAACACAAATGTGGTGTGTTAAAGCGGTGACTCGGAACGTCGACGTGGTTGGTCTCGACGACGGAAATCCTTAAGTCTTTCGTCGATATAAGCCAGTCGGCTTGCTAGCGATGATCGGGTAACTCCCTGGTTGCTTTCGCTGGATTGTTGCACGGTTGCGAACGGCCGGCGAAGAGCATCGGGGTCGTTGCCAGCTCCATGTGACAGGCGATTCGGGAAGGAAAAACTAGATCCTCCAAAAGCGAAAGGTGAGCCTAGTCGAGGGGGCACGTCTCCGACTGGAGGGGCCAGCGATTGCTGCTGAGCAGCTAGTGGCTGTGAAGCTTCGAACAGCTGTTGGAGATTCTTGCGTGGGACAACGACGTCAGAGTCTATCTCAGGTTCAGTCTGAGGCGTTGCGAACTGGTCGTTGGTGGCTGATAAGTCGACAATTGAGGCTGGGTCAACCCAAAGGTCGGAACCGAGACTGGGTCGCTTAATCTTCCGAGCCTCAAGATGGTTGGACCGGCGCTTGTGGGTCGATCGGCTACGTGTAAGTCGGACCGGAGACATAAGAGCGCGGCGCGGGCCGCCTGTGTGAGTTTGTCTTTGCAACTTAGGATCCACAACGAAGTTTGAGGGTAGCGAGCTTGATGAGCTAGGACCATAGCTTCGCGCTCCAAAGGGAGATGCAAGTTGTATGTGCTTCATTTCAACTGGCTCCAACGTCTCGTGATTCGGTGGAGGCAACGAAAGTTCGTCGGTTTGAGGCTCAGGTTGCGAGTTTGTTAATTGAGCCAGAGGACCTTGCAGTTGCATTGAATCAGAAGTGCTAACTGCCAATGACATAGCCATATCTTGGCCCGAGAATACCGAGGGGGAGCGACCGAGGACCGTTCGACGATTCCAATAACGGACTGCGGATTTGTTGTATGGAGAAGGGCTGGGAGCTAAATATTGTGAACCCCGCGCCTTAGACCTGGCGTTCATCTTGCAAAGCTCCCGCAGTTGGGCGCGAGTGGCAGCACAGGTATGAGGCCACTGAACAAATGGACCAGCAGCTCCTTGCGTGGGAGTGATGCTCCCACTACTGAGATCAATATTCGCCTGGGCTTTAGACCCCTTCCAACTCCTCTTCGCCTCTCGAGCCACACGCAAGCAAACTCCATGAGGAGGGATGCCGCTCTTACCAATACGGAAAGGCGTGACCTTAGGGTCTTGCAAATACATCATATAGGTAGACCATAGGTGTTGGTTCATAGGTTTTGTCCAGGGCGCTCTTCGAATGGTATCTCGAGGAACCTCCGTTTTAGTAGGCTTGAGAGTTTTACTATTGTCGTCGGCATTTGATAGCTCGTTCGCAAGACCTGCGTGCTCATTGTCTGGGCTGATGCATTGGCTCAAATCCTCCGAGCTGATAGAAAAGTAGCTCAGCAGGGAAGCGCTCGTGTGTGTTGAATGAGCTGTTGAAGGCCGGCTGGACTCATAATCGGGACTAGATTCGAGGCTACTGAGAGTAGAATCGATAGACCAGTTTGGATATTGTTTGGGGGTCAAAGTTGGTAACACGCCTGGAGCAGGAGTCTTTGGAGGCGAAAACATGCGCTCTGAACCACCGTGGGGTGTGAAGGGTATATCCTCCATGTCGTTAAAATGTGACATCGGGTACAATGTCTCTGCCATCTCCTCGTCAAGTACACGAGGCTCCTCGATACTGGGAATAGGGATGTCTGCAGCGGCAACTGACGCTAGAAATTGCTCTGTGGGCGCATTGAGATTTGACGCATTCCTCCTCTTGACTCGGAATCGGGGTCGCGGCGGGGATGGTGGTTGAGTCTCGCCATCTAGAGCAGGCTCGGGGGTTCTAGGGAGGTCCTCGCGACGTGCGCTTCTCGGCCAAGGGGCCGCAAGAGATTGGAAGTGCGACATGGCGGGTCACAAGGAACGCGAATGCGCTCCAGAGTCGCGCGAACTCCGAAATGGTGGTATAAGTATTCGAGGGAGAGCAGCGATGAGCGGGGCGATTTGAGTGCAGAATGAGTCGAGGCGAATGTTTCGGGATGCGGCAGCGCTGTCTTAGATCTCGTCAAGATGTCGCACAGCAACTCAAACGATACTGAGCTCGAAATTGTCGATAAAGTTTTCGGCGATGTGATTTCAAGCGCCGGAGCAGTTGTAGAGTATAAGATCGAGTCGAAGGTTAAAGCGCGACAGGATGCGACTGGTTGTTTATTTGTGCGCGCGCCAATACTATCCAGGGAATAGGCGAAAACACAAGAAAACCTGTTGATTGTTCGATCGCGCGTCGTCGAGTTTGGTATGTGATAGACGGTAATAAAACAAGGAAAAGTATGTCTTAGACGAGAGTCGTTGTCGTGGTTATGGTCGTCATATGTGAGGCGATGGCCCTTTGTTGTCACCGTCGCGGGATTTGTGGAGGTCTCCCAATCGCAAATAAACAACAGCGGGTAGCGAGCGGTCTCGGTTCGACGCGCCGTCGCAGTTGATGGTCCCGTAGACAAGCAGTGAACAAGCTGAGCTCGCGCGACCGACAGTCGGCGCAAAGCACGGGAGCACGAGAGACGAAGGGAGTATTGGGCGCAAGCGAGAGACTGGAATGGAGAAAAGGTGAGTGGGAAGAGAAAGGAAAGTAGACCGGGACGATGTGGGTGTACTGGGCGGGAGTGTGCGCTATGTATGAATGGGCAAGCCAAATGGTCAACGGGAGGTGAGTGGAGAGCAGGGCCAGCTGGGAATGGACGGGCGGCTCGTTAAGCACAGTACGTCTCCTCTTCCTTGTCTCTCGACCCAACCGGGGTAGAGAAAAACTTGAAGCACACTGGTTAAGGCCGTGGATGTGGGCCAACAGCGAACAGCGGGTGGCGCGAACGCTGCAGTCCAAGTAAGTAGGTACAGTACCTGGCAGAAGAGCTGTGCAATGCTTGTTGGCAAAATACTGGCTCGCTAGATGCCGGTCGGTCCCAACGTTGCTTTGTTTCTCCAACACTCTGCTCCAACTGAGGTCAAAGCAGGGAAAAGGACTTGTTCCACGACAAGACACGATATTGATGTTATATTATATGATGCGCTGCGCTGTACTTTGCAGTCGTGTCTTGACCTCTACGGTTTCTGGAGATCCACTGGTGAGTCCCTTGACGGTGGTGAGGACGGCAGTAAGCCCCCAACAGGCGGCGTGCTAGCGCAAAGCCCTTGTCAAGTCAACCCCGGCAGCGTCCGTGACAAGGAAGAGCTCAAGCAGCGGTCAGTGGGCGATGAGGGCACGTTGTGCCAGCTTGAGCGATGACCCTGGAAGGCAGAGCGGCCGTGATAGGTCTGATGAAGATGTTGATGATTCTCGAGGTGATCGAGACCATGTGATGGAATGGAGACAAAAGGACAACCGACTGAGACCCTGCGTGCCTTGTTGCGTTGCAAGCGTACAGTACCGTACAGTATCTAGGAAGATCTCGGTTGACCCCAGTTAGTGTTTATTTGCTTGATGTGAGCTTTGCTTCCCCGTTATCGTTGCTGGCGTGTTGAGGAACCCAGGATTGGCAGTTTTTTTGTATTCAAGTACCATTCCCTGGTCTTTGTTCCTCTGGTTCTGGAGCGGTCAACTCTCGGCGGCCGGCCGTTGGTATTGACTTAGACTCGCTCGGGACCTCGCATAGAGATGCGGCGTATGGCCAGTCTCTTGGGTTGGGAGCGGCTGCAGATATGCAAATGTGAATAATGGCCGAGAGTCTGTCACACATGGAACAATCAAAAATATAATTTTGGGTATGAAAGAGTTCAAGTTTCTCAAATATGAGCGTTTGGTCGATGACATTCTGAAAACAACACAGAAAAGACGCGATCAAACTCATGTTTGTTTGTTATGATCTGAGAGCCTCAGATGAGACAACAGTGACCCAGGTTTTCCACGCTCCCCGTTGGCTAACCTTGAAGTCGGGTACCACTTATTGGTGACCTAACGCACCCAGCATGTGTTCGTCTGCAGAGAGTGAGTTGATGACAGAATTGCTTGGTTGAGAGCAAAGGGCGAGGGGAGATGCGTCGAGAGCTAGCAGATAGCAACATAATGTGACGATCCAACGAGAGGGCAGATTGCCTCTATTTAGACAGGACTCAACACCAGCACGTTTCGACCCCTGCCCAAGCACCAAGCCAGAGCTGCACGTCGGCGGCAAGAATGAAAGACAGCGCAGGGAAAGGACGCACAGCACAACTATCGCCCGCACTCGCATGCATTCGCTCTAAATAAACGACCTTTTGGGGTTGAATGTGGATGAGCGTGATGGGGTTGTTTGTTTGAATACCTTTAGGTTTAAAGGTGTGGATGTCAGTCTGAGGGTGAGGGGTTGATAAGCGAAACAGAGAAATGGGTCAATATGACGCTGCATGTAAACAACTCAAAACTCGGGAAATACCTTGGGGACCGACCTTTCTATCGATCTTGCCTTCCATTGTAGAGGAAGCATAGACTTCCTCACTTCCAACTAACCTAGTGCACTCAACTCACTCAAGGAAGCAACTAGAAATAGTACACTATAAAAACTTGGAACAAAGATGGCTGGGGATTAACGCGAAAACTGAACGCGTCGACGCGTCACTCTCAACAAGCCAATGAGAAAGCACCTTGATTTGTCTGTCACACGAACTATATCAATACTGTAACTTGAGCAGACCAACTGCGAATCGGACCATTCAATTGATCTCGATGCAGTGCTTTCACTGCTGCATTGAGGAGCTTCTTTACCATCCTTGCCTATAAAGCACAGTGACTATCTCATATTCCATTTGGACAAGCCTGCAGCGCACCTTTCGGTACTACTCCATTCTTATCATAGGAATTCTACCCAGAATCAAAGGATGTCTAGGGTGGCGGCTGGTGTCCTACCCCTCTCAGCTAGGTAGCTCCGCACAGGCCGGGATTGGCTATTAAGCGACTGTCAAATCACAGGTCAAGGTGTGATAGAGAACGGCCTAGAAGGGAAGTGGATAACACTGTGTTTTTCTACAATGTGCTGATCTCATCTGAGCTGATAGGTAGTTGCTACTAACAAAAACACGAGTGCACTGGTGCAGCACTGCAGTCCAAGTTTACGGCTGACACTGATGTCATATTTATTTAGAGATGGACATCCAATCAACAAGATCAATGTCCTAGTCGCGATGGAAAGAAAACATTCAAAAATAATGTATGAGGTGACGTACCCTATTGTATGGATTGAGCCGTTGTTTCGTCAAGGAAGTTAACTGATTGTAACCTCCCTCGCCAAAGGACTCAGTCTTGTTCTTCTTAAAACAAGCGATTCTCATATTCAGGCACTGGACTGCCGTTTAATTACAGCAACTGCTCGTTACAGTACTTGAACTATATGTATGCATAAATGAAAACGAGAGCAGTAACTGGGACGATGTGCTCAAAGGTGGACTTGAGGGTACCATCGTTCGCATGCCAGACAGATATGATCTGGGTTCTTAAATTGTGGCACACACCCTTTCAAATCGAGGAACAAGAAACTCCCAGTACACCTTGAAAAATGAGTACTAGTTGGGAATAAAGTCATGGGTTTTCAGAATAAAGTCATAGGCTTTCAGTTCTCTTACAACTCTTCTCTTGATAAGGGTGGTGGCGTGACATCTATTTACGCATACTCTACTCATATGTAAACCTCGGCTGCACTCAAGACCGCTAACAATCATTCATAGGAATATTCGCCAATATTGGGTCTACGTTGTAAAAAGCCCAGGTCATGTATCTAAACGCTCTTTGCATCCTTGAGGTACCTCGTAAGGCGATCTTCTCAGTAAACGTTCCTTCTACAACAGTCAACAGTGGAAAGATGGCGAGTCGACTCATCGGTTTAATGATTGGAATCTACGGTATAACTGGCACAGTTCTCAACTCGATTCGACGTACCAGCCTCCATACAAAATTTCGAGATTCTAAGGACTCCGTTGTTGAAAGTAAGAATATCGACAAAACCTCAAGCAGCCATCTAGAGTGCAAGGTTGGGTCTAATGGGTACAATATCCATTCGATGACTGAGTACGAGTTAAAAGTGAAGTTAGGAGGTTATAGTCGGGAAGCTTCGGCCTTTCAACATCGAGCAGGCTTATGGACTGATCTTCAGTATGGAATTGAGTCCACCATCAAGGTCAAGGGCAGCTTAGACATGAACACTGCGTAGTCAGTCCACTATTCGAAGGTACTATACATTCGAGATATTGTATCAGGGAGCGCATCAAATATCCAGTGCGATCACCACTGATACTTGTGCATTGACCAACTGTGGAATTAAATGTGTGTACATGGTAGCCAGTGCCCGCTATGCAACTTCTCTACGAGACCGGGATATAAGAACATATCTTGTACTTCAGTGACTCTAGGTAAGGCCATGGGTATAATAGTATTCCGACATAGTATTCAAACATAAACAAAGGGAGATAAGAGAAGAATCCCTGCCGATTTTGAAGGAGCAGATAATCGCACAGTCGAGTTGAAACGCGGCTTCTCACATGTCCTTCTGGCAAGCGCGGTCCTCGCCAATGCGGTGCATCGCTATGTAAGACACATGTTCTTATACATCCTCCCAAGTTTCTTCATGAGTCGCCACTTCAAACCCAGAAGCCTACGCGGAGAGGAAGCCTGGCTCCCAACGTGAAAGGCAAGTTGAGGAGCCAGATTCTGACATCGCCATCAAAAATACTGATTTAACTTCTACATGTAAAGTCAGCCGTTGTTTAGCTGAATGGACAGCTAACACAATGTATCAGTCAAAGGTTCACTAGGAGTAGGCACGGCGATGCGACTCAGGTACACACCAGGCGATGTATTGCCCTAGGAGCATACTTCTAAAAAGAAACGAGAAGAAAGAAAAAGTAGAGGAGGCACAAGCAGTAGAGCTCGTTGTTATGGCGATTGGGCCCTGACTGACGTTCGACGGTACAATTGCGCAACTGAGTTGACAGGATAAGCATCAAAAACTTGGTATTGTCCCTGCCCATTTGCAGGGCGCCCCCTCAGAGACGGCCAGTCACCTTCACATAGCAGCTCGTAAATGCTTGGGGATAATGAACTGTGACACTGATGATAAAATAAAAGAGAGCCGGGTGTGGGTCAAAGAAGTCATAAGAACGCCTAGATGTATAGACAAATATGAAGAACATGCCGAGATCAAGAGCCCATGTCCACAAAAAATATCGTAGCATCACAGGTAAATTCTTCACAACGTTGGTTGTTGGTTGTGCTGTAAGTATACATGAGATGGAGATATGCTTGTGAATACACTTATTGTTAGTCCTAGAACTGAGTAAATAATGCAAAAACAAGGCGCCGTTACTTTGGGCAGGCATATTGCATTTCCATATGATACATCCTTAGGTTCATCAATCACATTTTAATTAATCACTCTTCTGTCTGTCGTGGTAAAAGTATGGATAAGATGCTTTCAGATTGTGGGATGGGATTTGCTGGTAAATCTAAAATATTCTGTGAGAAAACCTGGTTCCTAGTGCTTAACTTATGACATTCAAGTGTTACAATTAAGAAATTCTCCAACAAATAAAAAAGGATAAAGAGAATAGTCTGGGAAACCAATTTGTTGTTACCTGAGTGGCCGGGCCAAGAGCAGAGCGCTCCGGATAATACGGCGCCGTCACGGGGCTTGGGACGGTAACCCCGCAATCATGACGCCCCACATCCCCCGCCAACGTCAAACTTGCACTGAACCAACTTTTGCCTTCTGTTGGAGTCATCTCAGCCTCACCGACACTAACACCAGCTGCAAGCGCATGCTGTATCCTTTGCGCCCAAAATTTTGCATAGATTATAGAAGCGTCTCTCGCTGTGCTTTTCGTCTCCATCGCATTAGTCCGCTGTCAAGGTCAATCATGACCACACATGCTCCCGATATTATTACCCTCGACAATCTGTCGCAGACTCTTACACCTTGGAACCCTCAAGGGGAAAGTCAACTATATGCCATAGTTGATATGGGGAGGTATAAACAGTTCTAAATAAGTCACATAATCCTCATATCTGACAAATATCTCAGCAATGGCATTTGATTCTCCATCACATCTCTAGCGCCTCCATTTACACGCCTCCTTCGTCCCATTTACTCAACTCGCGCTGCCATCTCACTATTTGATGCGCTCCAAAATACACCAAAAGGTCTAGTATTTCTTCCGGAAACCATTGCTGTTGTCTCCAAGACACTTGGGCGTTTTCATCAACTCGCTGTGCGTCATGGAGTGCCAGCAAGGCACATCACCATCCTCGCTACTGAGGCCATGCGTCGGGCTGACAATGCTTCTGACATGCTCGAGGCAATCGCTTCCGTGACCAATGGTCTGAAAGTGAGCATACTTGAGCCCGCTGTTGAGACCCTCTTTGGCGCTGTCATGGGCTCTCGCAGTGGTCTCGTTGGCGTTGAAGGTGGCGCTCTGTTCCTGGACCTCGGGGGCGGCAGTGTGCAGATGACGTGGGTGGACACCAGCAAGCCAAACTACGAGGTCGATGCTGCCAGAGCTGGAGTGAGTCTGCCCTTTGGAGCTGCGAGATTAATTCGCGTGCTGCAAGAGCAGCCAGCCGAGGTTCAGGTTTCTGAGATCTCAAAGCTTCAAACCGGTATGCAACAGGCATACGCCAACCTCTGCTCCAAGTTCCCTGCACTCAACGCTCTTAAGGCCTCTCATGACAAGGATTCTCGCGTGAATGTTTTCATGTGTGGAGGTGGCTTTCGTGGTTATGGCAGCATGCTTATGCACCAAGACCCTGTGAGCCCGTACCCTATTCCTTATACAAACGGCTATACGGCTCCAGGTACACTATTTTCCAAGGTTGAGCACATGCGTCGCATCAACGAGGAACACGATAGTCGCATTTTCGGACTGTCCAAGCGTCGTCGTAAGCAATTTCCTGCAATCGCTACTGTCATTGAGGCATTGCTCGCTGCGGTACCCAATATCGGAAACGTGACATTCTGCGGTGGTTCGAATCGTCAAGGTGCACTTATGATGAAGCTTCCGTTCGAAATCCGCGAGTGTAACCCCCTCAATATTCTTGCTGGGGTCACATCAGATGAGAAACCCGTATTCGATGCTGTGTTGAGCACATTGAGAAATGCTCTTCCTGAAGAAGTCGACTTCTCATCCATGCCGAATGTTTTGACTCCTGGGTTGGACTCTCTTTTTGTGCGGGATGTTTGGACTCGTCAGGGCCACGATTCGGATAACAACTCATCGTTTGTACTACATCATGCAATTACCCGAGATGCAGAGGTCCCTGGACTCTCACACACTGGAAGAGCCCTTCTGGCTCTTTCAACCTCAGCTCGATGGGGAGGCAATCTTGGGCCCTTAGACTCTCAGCTCCAGCAAAGTCTATCGGCACTTCTTGAGAGCCAGCATCCTGACGCACCATTTTGGGCTTCGTATATTGGTGCTGTAGCCGGGCTCATAGCCATGGTTGTACCAATTACCCCGACAACCGCAGATGAGGTAAAAAATGCTATCAGGTTAGTGTCATTCTTCTATGCCAAGTTCTGTTGTCTAACGATCACAGCATAAAAACACTTCTCAAGAAGGCAGAGGATAAGAAAGAGAGAATCGTATTAACGATCGGAGTCGCCTCCGCCAACATAGCAGGTGTCAGTCTAGAAGACCTAGCCGACAGAGTTGAGAGAACCACCAAAAAGACTGGGGGAAAGAAGCCAAGATACAAGATAACTGCCCAAGTAAGCCTATTGCCATGACGCATTTCTTCATCAACATAAACCAACCCAATACACACATGTTTTCCCTTTGATCCAAATCAACCATCACCATATGCAGCGAGCGTCGTTGTATTCGTTGTAATCATAAAAGAACCATCATATCATGCTTTTTTGTTCGTATTTCGTCTTTTCCATATGTTTTTCCTGTTTTGCCTTTTGGTTTGCAAATAAATTTCTGTAATGACTGGACATGATATGTGCAACTATTACGCACTATCACGCGAGCTTCCCTTACTCTTGGTACTACTTCGAGGGCGTCTCTTGTTTGAGATTTTCTTAAGCTCATGGTTAACTACCAAGGCGCTAAGTCGCTCGTCAACCTTGTACGACGAACGCTGAACTCTCTCATCTGGGGATAGGTTAGTGGCACGTCCCACAAAATAAGGTGAGGTGGTCTTACAGAATTCCTTTCTGGCGTCCATCATAGCCTGGGAGAACTGGCGAATTTTGCTGCTATGACGAGCATGAGAAGGATAGTCCTTGAGCCAGTCCATTGACATCTCCATTCTCTTGGGAGTCTTGAATTGGCAGTGATAGAATATGGCTATCAAGGGGAAGAATCCATTGTAAAGGTTCTCAAAAGCCCCAACTGCATATTATTAGCAATCATGTTTGACCTTCAAGTCGAATTGTCGTACCGATATTCTGGTCTCTCTTGGCACTTGGGTTTCGGGCGAAGTAGCCATCATGTGCAATGACCAAGTCTCTATACATGATCATGAGTTGCCACAAGCTGGCCCAAACTGCCATCTTCTCTTGAACTTTTAGAGACTCTTGTTGCGCCAAGCAGTCTTCGAGGAGCTTGAGGATATCATGCTCATGAGACACAAGTGCGTTCCATGCAATGCGTCTAAGCTCGGCTTGAACAGTAAAAGGGACCTGAGAGAGCTTGTTGGACGAGCTGCAGCAGGTGAAGCGCGGAGCTTTCCAGATCCTGAAGAAACAATTCATTGTGTGGACCTTGGAGACGAGGTTGTGCTACAGTAACAGTTAGTTATACTGGAGACTGCAAGGATCAACAAGAGTGGGTTGCGAGTGTTACCTTTGGAAGTCCCTGGCCATCCTCATAATATGAGAGCAAAAAGTTTTGCACCACATGCTCAAATCTAGAGCTGCGTTCTCTTCGGATCTGTGCCTCGACCCAGCGCTGGAGCTCACCATAAGTGGGAAATCTATCCCGCTCAAAAGCAGCGTTTCTTGGGTTCTCATCCGTTCCATTCTGAGAATGGTATGCTTGGACGGATGCTCGAAGAAAAGGTGACTCGGCATCGCGGGTGAAGAAGATGACAATATCTCTGGGTTTCGCAGTGGGAAAACGAGGCTCATGATCAACGACACGCCTCTCTTCCGCAGGGTCGGGAGACCAGACGTCTAAATATGATATGTCTCAGTGTACATGTCTCACTTTGAGATTGGGGACCAGGGGGGTTGTTCAACATACCGGCGATGTGACGAATCACAGGCGGAGCAACCGCAGGGGTCCTACGGGTACAGACCAGGTGTGAGTGGTCTGGGAAGGCCTTACGGCAATAGGGACAGACGCCACAGTCTTGACACTGGGTATTGGCTCAGTTCAGTGTTTGTTTCAGAGGGGCAATGACCTTGTATAGGCATTGTATTGGATTGGATTTCTTACGCGGGTCTTGGAGATACGGCACGGAAGACAGGCTCCACTCTTGCGGACGTCGGCTGTCTGGTCTGGATCAGAGAGCTGTCTTGACCTCTTCTCCACAGAACGCTGACGCTTGACACCAGAGGTTGAGTTTGAGGAGGGAGAGTACGAGTATGTCTTGGTGTGGCTTGAGCGGCGGGACGAGGACTCGTGTACCTGGATCTGATGTGGGTAGCCATACCCCCGGGGGGCGTGCTTGCTAGGTACGGCCTGGGGGTACGTCCACTTATCATCCTGGGCCTGAACCTCTTGGAGGCTGACTCGAGGGCGTCGACGGACATCGTCTACACCATCGAAGAAGACGGAGCCAGAGTGAGACGAAGGAGAGGTACTACCACCTCTAACGAGTTCTGGTGGGGTCTGACCCATGGACTCGGATGTGGTAATCCCTCCATCGTCTGGGCTCAGGCCAGGGGTCATCCTTAGGTATTCGGCCTCGCTCCTGTCAAGAGAAAGATGATCAAGAAAGGAAGGGATATCAGTGATGAGCGAGGGAAGGTCCCTGTAGCTTAGGCGAGGGGAGCTAGAAGCTCCTGGGTAGTCCTGAGACCTGGTCGAGTCACAGTAGAGATCCCAGTCAAAGACAGACCTGAAGAGCTCATCATAGTCCAGGCCCGGGGAGGTGGGAACACGCGGGTTTTCTTGACCTATCTGGGACAAGTCTCTGGACGCAAAGACAACAGCGGAAGCACCTCCTTTATCCATGTTGACGACCTGCCTGCCCTGCAATGTAATGTACTGTTTCCGGTGTAAGTCACGAGGAGCTATCTTGGTGGAACCTCGATGTCTGCGCTGGGCGAATTGAAGCACGCAGCAAATACTTGTCAGAAGACGATAAGGTGAAAAGTTCCAATGTGCCTGATGCTTGCGTGCAAGATTGAGCGATTCAGAGACACGTCCTGGCACCAGAGAGTTATAATTCGGCATTCCTCGACACTCGTGGTAGACTTGTTCACTTACACCATCCTCCTCCTTCAATTCTCGGTGTAAGACAGGGGTTGTATTGGCTAGATCTCACCAATTTCCACTGTAATTGACCAATAGATGATCCTTGTCTTACCGGTTTTCGACTTGAATTGAGTCCGGGAGAACGCTACGAGTTGCTAGTAGACCTAGATCACGGGAATAGTGTATATGACTATTATTGGGATGGAGGAGAGGCGAAACTTTATCGATGGTAAACTAAACGGCTAGAATTATCTAGTGTTGCTGGCGCAATTGCTTGTTGATGCTACCAAACCTTCGTGATGTGCTTTTGGTGTTGATATGTGGATGACCAGACAAGACCATGATATTTAGGCAAGGGCTGCCAATTACCTGCTGGGCTCAATTACGTTTGCGAAACCGTCAATTCGAGCGGCAATTGTCAGTAATGAAACTAGTTCCCTTTGTTATCCTCCGCACGGGCGGTCTCTTAGCCTTGATGTTGTGTCGTAGAGCTATGGAGTATATCTGTGATATATGGGTTGTCAATCCAAACCGAAACACTCAATTGGTCAAACCAAAACTAGATACATATCAGAACCCATCGCAGAAACAAGGGGAAACTTGCGATTGACTTCTTTTTGGGCTTTTCTTCCCAGTGTCAGCACTTAGTTTGGTGGTGTTGCTAGTTCATTGACATCCCAAAGTGGGATCGTGCGGTTGTATAGACAGGGATGTCAACTCTAAGAACTCAAGACTCCAAGAAAGACTCGCCGCGTCCGTCATCAAACTGTCATCGTTCACAAAGTATTGAAATCTGATCTGTTTAATTTGAATGACACCAAGCCGAGTGATTCTAGACACAGGAAATGTAAATATATTGCATAATACTGACAATTGCTTAGCCATTGCAACAACCCAATTTTTATAGCCGACAGGGGCTCAAATTTAAGTCGACTTAATTTTAATCACTGACTGAAAATTTAGATATCGTCTATCAAATTTAGGATTTAAATTTTTCGTCCCGTCTTAATTTAAGCACATGGCGCCCCGTCCCGGCAATGCGGGGCCGACAACGGCTCCGGCCGTGGTTAAATTTAACCTCAGCGCCACCGGAGCTCCGCGTCGGTAAAACTGGAAGCGAGACCCACGCTGGTTGCCTTATTGAGCAAGACAAGATGAGTTGCATGAGACATCAGTCATGTGCCCGGGTTTTCCCAAAGAAATGCACCACCACGACTTTCCTACTTGCTTGTTATTTCATTGAAGAGGTGACTCGGAATAAAATTGACTGCTTGTCTCTATGGTCAAAACTTTGATGAGACGACTTAGGATAATTTTAGTCTAAAGTTCTATAACATAAAATCATAAAGTGAGCCTAAAGTCATCATAAATTATGGATATAAAATGCCTTTTTCATATAACTTTCTGAAATGCCAATTCTAGGGTAGTTTTGCCTTTCAAGAAAACTCGTTAATTCGCTCCTCTATTGACTCATTGATGCATTTTGCTTCCTCTACCATCTGCTTACAGTATGGGAATGTTATGGTGGGTTTTCTAAGGCCAGAGACAGCGTACTCAGGCCTTATTATTTTAAGCTGATTATTTTCAGGGAATTCAAACGAGGAAATAACATCATAAGAAAGTACTTCTACCTCTCCTCCTGCGAATGGGCAGGGCCTCCACTCCACGGACTACTATTACCATTGGAGATTGGAACAAATTCCTCAATGTCTTTTCAGGGTGGAATTCTCTCCAGCGGGCTCCAAAGGACCCGCGATTGCTGAGAAAAAGATCGCAGACACGCATATCGAAGCTGGCACACTTGTATTCACCCTTCCACTATCCAAAAGCGGCACTAGACAACAGAAGCCCAAGCGATGCGCAGGGCAGCCAATTTACTTTGGACTTACCCTGAACTACGAGTCTGGGCCCATCCTCTGGCCTTGGAAAGGTTTCCTCTGCTCAGGAGTGCCCCTAGATGCCGTATGCCTCCTGGATGGCATGACAGAAGTCACCGTGAGAGCCGACGCTGTCTGGAACTATGATGACAACGAGAGACGCCGCATCACCAACTTCAACAAAGAATATGTCAAGGAGAACGCCTGCCGGGCCATCAAGAAATGGTCTCGTGAAGGTTCCCATCCCCAGCCGACCATCGACGCCGAAGACAGTGCGTTGCACATCGCGCAATTGAAGCTTGGAGCTTCGTGTGTTCGCCCTGAAGCGGAGCGTATGGCCAAAGTTGCCGACGAAGTTGAGAACAAACCCCCTGGGCGCAGTCCGGTCTTCCCGTGAAGCGGTCTAACTTTTGAGTCAACGAACAATCAAAATGGGACATATGGAAAGGAGGGTGAGACTACAACCAGTGTTTATCCCCCTCACTAGGGATTTAGCCTCATAATAAATCCATTATCAACAACTATTTTATGTGCATCAACGTGAAGCCCTTTTTCTGGAAAGCTTAGTATCAAGTGACGGTCAATGGTTTGAAAGTAAGGTAAGTGTTTCAGTAAAGCTAGTATATTTCATCCCATTTTGTTCCTAACACATTTCCTTTTTTTGTTTTAACGAATGGGCGTGGAAGTCGGGAAGACCTAGGCCTTCCCGAACCTCTCGCACTAACCTATACGACCCGTCGCTACAGAGGAAGGCTCGATCACCATAGATCTTGTTTGTTTCATGGTAGGTTCCAAGGTACAACATCAGCAACCCTTCGAAGAACACTGTAAGCCACCGTTGGATATCCTGGTTTGAAGCCTGGCCATTGAGCAGAGCAGGATTCTGCCACAATCCTGCAATACGGAAGTTGGGCGCAACACACTCCTTCCTGCAGAAGGTGTAATACATCGCCCTTGTCGCAGTTGCAGTTGCATTATGGATCTCTCGCTCATGCATATCTATACGACTGAACCCTCCTGCTTTTGCAATTGAGGAGCCGATATATATCTTGGTGGGCATGGATGGGGTGAGTGGTGTTGTCGATGTTTTCACCGGTCGTTTACCGCAGATAATTGACTCTTCGAGGGCGATGTTTTCAGTGCCAACCTTAACAGCGACGTTCAGATATACAATACGCTGGGCAAACCTTTTTGGGATCTGTGGCAGGTTAAGAAGGTCTCCAGGGGTTAGGGCAACTCTGCCAAGTACTTCTTGAGTCTTTGCTGGCGTATGGTGTATCGAGTCCCCTGCGAGCTGTCCAAGTTTGCTAGCATTGCCCTGAAACCAATTGTCGCTCTCGATCACTTCGACTTAGCTTCGACTAAGAGCTGAAGTCTCCAGCGAAATCAGAGTGCGCCCATTGTGATTATGGATTCGGCCAGAAATACCTAAAGGAGAGTCTTATTTTCAATATAACCGTAATTGCTCTGCTGTTATCGGACAGATTGATTCTTTAAGGTGCTTGATATGCTTCAAGTCGCATTGGTGTGCTCCTTGCCTCACCCTTGCCGTACAGCAAGTACAACCCCTCAGGGAGCAAGAAAACTTCTGACCTGAAGGAATGGTGCGAAAAATAGCCAAGGTAGTCCAAGATCTACTCATTCAATACTAGATTTACCTAAGTCTTTTGATCACTTAGGATAGAGACCCTAAGTTTTCTTGCCTCCCCTTGACCCGAACCACCTCCTTCCCATTCGGCAAGAACTGTCTTCTTCTGGACCTCTATAGGTGGATTTTGAGAATGAATGGCTAGCATGAATTCAAGCATTCACCATTTTGTGCATGAGTTGCTACTTTCCTCACTGATACATTGCATTATGGTCTTTCTGATGCGTGATCGTTTGCTGCTACTTTTGGTCTTCTCGAAGTCAGTGCAAGATATTACGCCGAGGTCAACTGAACTTAGTTCTTAGCTCGAGATATTGGTTTTTGAATAACTTCCATAGACGCAGATTCCGCAAATCCCCTTCCCTTCCTGAGGTGCATGGTGCTGTTTTGAAAACGGAACCTCAAAGCTCTTGATCTATATTTCTGCATTAAACTCCAAACTTGAACCCCCTTCATGTATTATTCTCTCTAAGAGGTCAGGAGTATGTATCATGAGAATCACTATAGATGTTCCTGGTTTCAATGGTCTTTTGCCCAATATCATAGTCAAACTCCAGTGATGCGATATAAGTAATAATGAGCCCTTATTGTGAGGGGAGAGTCTGATGGATATATACAGGCGGCGCATATAACTATATATCAGTCTGCAAGTAATAAATCATAATCAACATAAGAAGATGGTAACTCTTTTTACTAATATGGATCTTACTTATGAGCAAATTATCACGATCTGAGCTACATTTAAGGTGAGAGGACTGTGCATCTTCAATTCTTGCGAATTAATAATAGAGTCAGACTGTGTAAGGTTTATTTAATATAATGCTTTTCAAGACGGCTGCTTGCTGACTTGTACGTCATGGTAACCATTCGGGTTGCCTATTAAACGTAATATAATTCGTACGGTTTGATGTTAACGATATCTAAGCTCACACAACCACTGAACCAAAACACTTGAGCAACAGAAACAATCACGTTATGTTTAGTTGTTTCGGTTTCAATCCCGCTTCTCGATCGAGTATCATTCTGCGCAGCAGTTGATCGTGTGATGCTGACATGGACATCGACTCTCTTTCTAAGAAACAGTCAGCTCTTGTTCCATAGAGAAAATTAAAGCCACTAACGGAAATAGAAGCTCTCAGTGCGTAAGCTCATAAAGGCTTCAATGAGAGACTCGTCATCGTTGAGAAGCTTGCGTGTTGCAGCTACCCGGAAGTCGGCATAAAGCGGACTGGTTACGCGGAAAAGGGCCGCGTAGATAGATACGAGATAGTGATAGAAATGCGTCCCGACTTCTAACTTGCACTCTGGAAATCCGCTATAATCTTCAGGTACATGGCAAGGGAATTCTTGGAAGGCCATATATGTGTGGACCAGTTTCCGATACATCAGGATCAGACACCAGAGGCTGGCCCAGAGGGCTATTGAGTTATCAGGCCCGATACCTGCAGTACCAAAGACAATCTTCTCGAGCTCAAGAAGAACTTCTTTCTCTATTGGTTGGGAGGCCGCTTTTGAGATCTGGCCAAACTGGGTATGCAACGCACAAGAGGGCGGAGTCATATTCCCCTCCCTTTCCACGCAAAGAATGAGACCCAAACGTATTTTTGTTAGGCAATTGAGCCTGTGTACTTTGCGGACAAAGCCGTGCTATGTCGTGTAAGTGGGCTGAGCAAGGCGTCAATATATGATTTTGCTTACCATAGGCAGGGATGCTTCCGATTGACTGTACCTCAATATGAATGAATCCATGGTTTGCTGGAAGCCTATACAGCGGGTATCCTGATGAACGATCATTCTTTCGACCCAGTCAATCAGTTGGCTTGGTGGAAGAAGCTGCGGTAAGGCATAGCGGGCGCTTTCTTGGCGATATGATTCGACTTGCTCGCCGACTTGGTCTGTCACGACCCAGCAACAGAACCATGGTGGTGTTGTGTTTCCATAATAATCCTGCACTTCAACTTCTAGAGCTGGATTGTCAAGATAGTCCATGGACAAGGAGACTTTTCGATGTGGTCCAAGATGAGTTGTGCCTGCGATAAGCTCCTGGTTTAGCAACCTCGCAGTATAATCGATATAGTGAAGATCTGAAACTATTAGCCGACTTAAACAAATGCCGGTCAGATGCAGTCTTACCTCCTGAGCTGAATCTCATTTTCGTCAACTTCTCGCGGATACATAACTGAGTTCCAAGAATACCAGCCGCTTTTTCACATGCTTGACATGGAGCCCCTACGCCACACTAAATGGTCAGCTTCTGTATGTACGTGCTTGGGTATAAGTCAATGAGACATACAGATATTCTTCGAACTTTGCATCTGAAACAAGCACCGGTTTTCCGGACTTGAGCAACTTCAAGCCTCCTTTTCTCATCAAAGTCCTTCCTCTTCTTCTTGATACCATCGGGTTTGGTGGGGTTAGAGGGGAAACATATAACAGAATATTCAGGGACTGAGACAATTGAACGCGTTCCTCTGCGCCTTGGCTGATCAAATGATCGATTTCTCTCATGGCCACGTTGTGTATCATCTTGTCTCTTCTTGTCGGAACATTCCTGCTCGCTAGTGGCAGCAGGGATAGGGATCTCGTTTAAAGGTGTAAAAGGTTGGGCTGGTTTTGAGGGTGTTGAAGTTCCCTCACAGAGGCGCTCAACGTCGAGGAACTCTTCAAGATCAATAACTTTAGGAGAGGATGGCTCAAGGCGTTCTTCTTGGAGCATCATTGTTTCCATTTTCAAGAACTTATAAGTTGATAGTAGATCAAGATCATCTAGACATCCTATTCTTTGGACTTGTGATATCCTTTCATCAGTCATTAGGATAACGGGAAAGGCGGGGCAACGGCCTCTACTGTCCTATCAGACCATAGCTAAACAGCGGATCCTCGGTGAGAGCTTGGATGAGCCATAATAGGAAAGTTTACGTCACGTGAAGCTACTGCATACACTGAGAGACGAATAGCAATGCTTGGAAACCTTCCCTTTTTGACAGATGCCTCGAGTCAAGTACAAACATAGACTTTGACTGAAACAAGCTTGACTGCGGATGGCTGAAGACAAGCATCGCATTGGAATGTATGTTGGGGTCCAGACCGCCCTCTTTAGTATCTTACGTATAAGCACTTGTTGGGTTTCCCAAATTAAGCCGACATTCACAATGATGATACCACGAAGCATTGATCAAACCCACTTCAGTAATAAGATTCGGGCATAGGTAATATGCATATTTCCTGCAACTCTATTACTCTATCTCTGTCTACACCTGAAGTGTTACAATGAATGCAGTGGGCCTAGATCACAAGTACGAGAGTTCATCCGACAGTCCGTCTCAGACAAAGTGCACAAAATTTTGGTCAGCGGAATAACAACACAGCACAGGCGCCGAGCTGAGTCTCGTCCAGTAGGGATAAAGATCCACATGGCCGTTTTTGGCGTATTTCTTGGGGCGAACAGACACCAGACCAGGTTACAAGGGTGGGACGATTTTCCGGAATGTTCTATAAAAAGGTACCAGACACGGAGCAGCACAGCCATGCAGACGCAGCAGACGAGCATGCACCCGAGAACTGGATCCGACGACGGAGCCAAGACTTTAAGGAGCCATTAGAATCTCGACAACTTCTCACGATCCTTCGTCTCTTCCTGGGCAAAATGGATTCTCTCTCCCTTTTCTGTCTGATGTGCAGAGCCAATCTCGGCTACCGCTAAGCCCCTCAAAAACGACCGATGGAGCACCAAAGCCAGGGGTCTAAAGTATGACGCAGCTGGCCTGGAGATCTGATGTACCTTTGTGGTGTAGTGTGCGGCAATTGGGGGTTTATTTTTCACTGTCCAAATCATCTCCATAATCAACTCCCAACCTGATGGTCTGGATTGTGAAGCACAACATGAGGCGTACCGCCATGCGCCATTCTGACAGGCATTTCTGTACACACACACACATGAATTTATTACTGCGGCGTCAATTATTGAGCTCGGTCTCCGGGGTGGCACGTACTTGATGACAGGTAAGTTGTAACCTGTCGACGAAATCCCTGAGGTTTGTTTGGGTCGAGGAGCATGAGTTAGAGGCGATGATCATGGACCGTAAGCCCCCTGTTTTACGGACACTTTCCCCTAAGGCGCAATTGGTGACTCGTGTAACTGCTGGCCCGCTGGACATCACACATGAGTCGGCCGAGAGGAATCTGGAGAACACAGAGTACGAGTCGGGTACCGAAGTCTAAAATCTTCCAAGACTTTACTGATGGAGATCTGTCTTGAGTATACGATATTTACCCATCATGTGCTGTCAAGTCGGTCTGAAATACGAGAAGCGAAACATCGTAACCGGGTAGATTTCCCCAGTTTATTGATTTCCTACTGCAACCTCTGCGCCAGACGATCCATTCTGTTGAGAGCGGCCAACCACGGCTGGGCGTTGTATTTTTGTGAGTTGGTTTTTGCAGATCTTATGAGGGCGAGAACCAGCCACAGACAAATGGGAATAAGATAATTCCGATGTGAGGGAATAGGGGGCCAATGCAGGAGTCTGAAGTAGGGCGAGACTTATTGGAGTTTCTCAATTTCTGACTGCGATGACGAGTTTTGTTTTGACCTCCAATGGGAATGACGACAGGTGAAGCTTATGATGGTGGTGAATAAGAAGCGAGGACTTTTGATGATTCGAGGTGCCGATGCCGATAAATGTAACCGGTTTGGGTGTCGTCGACGGCAGAAGGCAGCCACAAGATCAATACCAAGACCAACCACCAGGAACATGACTGTTTCGGGATGTGGCTGATTCCCGGGAGTCCCAAAAACTTTGCTTCCTGCAGATCACAGTTTGTAGTCGAAGACAAAACAACAGCAAGAAGATTAGACCGGATATGGGGAAATTGAGCGATCGAATTGTACGTAACTGATAATCTTAGACTAGAAACCCACAACCTCAATCTGTTATCTGGTATTAAATGTGAGGCAACCGTTCGGGGGAACGCCCAGAAGGAAACGCTGAAACTTCGAAACGGCCAAGCACTGTGAGTGACAGGGAGACCGTGGGGTTGACGGTTGGCTCTCGCTGATCCATCCTGCTTCTCCGATCCCTGGCATAATAATAGTGCTGGTACTGGCCAAGTAATGAAGCATCAAGGAGATGTAATTCCAATCTCTAAGCCAATCCAACCGTACTGTTGCATTACTCTCAACACCAATTCAGCCTGGTTGAGGATCAT